GTGTATATCTAGAATGTAGAAGTGCACAGTTTGAGTACTCTCTCTCATGTTAAGTAAATATGCATAGTGGCTTACCCTTATGCCTAACATTTGTGGAACACACGCTTCTCACCACCTTAGGCAATTGAGAGATAGAACAGATCATAGAGCACCATTTTCTTTTTCCTTGCTCAGTTTTCATCCCGGATGGTTTTCAAGGATTTTTGCAAATAAAAACTATGTTCCTCAAATGATTCTCTTGATCACTCAAAGTGTATAGATATTTTATTCCTCACGAAAGATAATGCCCTATTTGAATCCTACTCTAAGGTTGAATATGTGGAGCTTGGTTGGGATCAAATGAGGCATACTTGTATTCTCATAAATTACTAAGTCAAAAATCTAGACTAAAGCAGATAGCAAATCATACTTAGATCAAGATCATGCAAAGTGTGTGGAATGTGTGGTGGAAAATAAAATTTGGATAAAGAAAATGCTTCTCCTTTGTGCTTATACTTCTCCTCCAAATTATCCTTTGTTTTTCATGGAGAGGGTATGGCTATATATTTTCATCACGCTCCATATTTTGATAGAGCAAGACTTTATTCATCATTTTTTTATAGCCACACCTTTCTCTCCCTTTTTCTTTTCTTTTTGCAAAAGATTTTTCTTTGGAGAAGAATGCATGAATGGAGAGCTTTATTTGTCGATGATGACATGGATATGAGTGAGATGAATGCTAACTTCCAGTGTAGAAGCTTAGCATGTGTGCATATGTGGGTGTATGATCTTGTTCATAAAGTATGAAAGATATCTACACAAGTCACAAAATTTGACAAAGTTCAATGGAACTACAAGTAACCAAATATTATATAAGGTTTTCAAGTGCAAATTATATTTGGCTGTGGTAGGAATAAATATATCAAATGAGGAACTTTGAAATTTATCATTTTGAAAAACAAATCATCCAAAATTTAAATCAAGCTTGGATCAAGATTTAAGCAACTCTATTTCACTATATCATATCTCACAACAGCTTAGGCTTAAATCACGCAGTGTGCAACTCACATCTCTCAGGTTCCCGGATAATGGTTGGCTAATCATTATTTAAAACTTGAGAGAGTACTTAACTATGTACAGATACATTAGAGATATAAAGCAGAGCAAATATTCATCATTTCAATGTGGAGAACTAGGTTTTCTTACCTAGCATGGTAAAATCTATCCTATATTTTTGGTATTTTCTATTTTGCAAATTTTTATGTTTTTGAGTTATAAATGCAAATGCAAGAATTGAAACATGCAAGAAAGGAAATATGCAAGATAAATGCAGATACAAGTCACCTTTGCGGGGGAGAGACTTCTCCCCCCAAGCTTGCTCCTTGCTCATGGTCCAGAGTAAGCATTGAATCCTTGATGGCGGAAGTAGGCTTGCAGATCAGCTTGTTGTTGTTGCATCATATTGTTGATATTTGAGAACTGTGCATCAACACTTTGCTGCTACTCCTGCGCCTGGATCACGTGTCCTTCGAGGGACTGTTGTCCCAGCGAGAGGAACTCGAGCACCACCAGCTGGAGGTTGGAGGCACGCCACTTGAGCCTGCTGAGTTGGTGTGCCCCCAGCGCACCTCATGAGGCATCTGCCACTAGGAACTGCCGGCACTCGGCTAGGCAGATCCTCCAGTGCTATGACGTAGGGCTTGGGCCCAGCCGGAGGCATCTCTAGCTGATTTCCAGCCACTCTCATAAGCATGACCGGGTGGTGAGTACGTTGAATCCTCCTGTTCATCTGCTGCCATTCTGCGGTTACTCCTATGTGTCGCACCTGCACGGGATTCCTCTATCGTCTGCAGGGGAATGGTTAGTGCATAACAGTTATACAAATGATACCCCGGGTTAGGTAACAGGATTTCATTTCTACAACCGGGTTGGAAGAATACTAAGGTCACATCTGCTCCATGTTTCAAAGTATGACCTTGCACTAGTTATGATTCATTTATATAAACACGAGAGACTGAGATATAAGCAATTTGATCATTTGTAATAACCCCAAGCCCTCTTGCTATACAAGTGATCAAAGAAGTGCATTTTATAGGAGCGGAGACCTCTATGCTCTCTACCCACTGCCTAATCATGGGTTGCACAGGAGAAACTCTAATCTAATGAACCATGGCATATATAATAATCATCTCATTATCATGAACAGGTCTAGGATCTCCTCTAGGAAACAAAGTCATGGCAATCCATTTATGTATAAGTCTAAGAGTTGGATTATGGATGTCATTGGTTCTGGGTTTCAACCCATTGTTTTCCAGATAACACCAAAATCCACATCCATACCTGTTTTCCGGAGTAGCTCAGGATCGTATGCTCGGGTGTGAGCGAACGATCGGTTCTTCAACATCTGGTAGGTTTGCTTCTCTCGTCTGTCGACGAGGTCGAGGTCGTCATCTGTCAGGAGCTGTGGAACATCGTCCGTGTCCTCCATCGACATGTCGGCGGACGAACGATCACTCGCATTATCGGATCGGGAGCCAGATCCCTTAAGCAAGCGAGAGAGCCGTCTCCTCATGACTGCACAAAAGCAAGGATACAAAGCGAACTCGAGCGGGGGTTAGTACGAGATAAAATACCCGCCGGTTAGCTTTGTACCAACAGCGACTTGCAAATGTAGCGAATAAAGGATTTTAAATATAAGACGAGCTTGCACCAGCCTGGAATGAATTTGAGAGCAAAATAGAAATTGAGAAGGAGTTAAAAATTGAGTTGGCAATGAGATGAACTCCTTCTACCGGCCATCCCCTTCTTATAGTGCACCTCCAACGGCTATAATTGTGACACGGACCCACTAACCATTGGTGTGCAAAAGAAGGGAGGTGACTATTGCCTGTTGACGGTCGTCATCGATCAGTTACATCCGTCAATATTACCGGAATAAATGAAGAACTAGTTATGCTTGCAATGCATTTAGTGTCATAATAAAATAAAAACCACTAGCACTTGGTTCACTAACCCTTTGCAGAGAATGAGCCATAAATGGAGAAGAATCGGCATCAAAACAAGCGAATAATCAATCGGACGATGTCGAGAAACAGAATTGTGTGTAGATGGGCCAGAAACTCAGAATTGACACGATCAATTTGGGCCAAAATTCACAAGTCTACAAAGAGCAGAAGCAAAGGAGCCCGCCAGCCGAAAATGGGCTGGTTTGGCCTAGCCCAGGGTTCGGCCGAACCTCCCTCACGGCCGTTCGATCCAAGTGGACGGCTTGGATCACTCCCCAATGACGGTTAGAGGGCAATCCTGACAATTCCAACTGCCATAACCGTCATTGGCAGCCTATTTAAGGCATTCACTCCCTCCATTTCTTCACACACTCCAAGCATCGAAGCTCTCACTCTCTCTCAAGTTTAGTTTAGTGTTCTTAAGCTAGTGGAGTAGGAATAGAATAGTAGTCGGAGTCTGGAAGTCTTTGGAAGAGTTCGGGTATGGCCTCTAGTAGCTTTCCTTTCTTCTTTTGCAAGACTAGTATTTAATTTAGAATATTCCTCTATATACGACTCTAGTATTGTAATATTTTCCGAATATATGAATACCAGCTTTACAATATGTCCGAGATATTATGATTATACTGCTAGCTTTTCTAGGAGATGCATTGGTACGGGTATAATGTTTGCATATGCAATTACTCTATGTCATGACGATGATATTAGAGTAGTATCTGGTAGTTTAGACGTGGTGTCTAGATTACTAGGTATCATTATTTGGGGTTATATGCTGCGGATGAGAGGTGGGCCGCTGATGGTGACAGCTCGCTACGGGTATTCCTCCTTGCGTGTATATAATCCTAAGTTAATTCCCTGGGGAGGGTACTCCTCCGTATTTAGCCCTGGTTGTATGGTCATGACGGGCTGTCGTAAGGAACTCGGCGGTCAGGGGTGGCTTCTCGAAGTACCAGGAGGGCATCAGAAAGGGGGTAATAGCTAGTTAATCATATATTTAGGATGTATGTACACTATGTATACTAGAAGTATAGGAATAGATTCTTTTCTATATTCTTTCCACTTAGCTTAGAGATTTAATATAGGAATGAGTAGCTTGAGCTTGTGTGTCATTCTACCCTGGAATTATCTTTACCCCTTCTTAGGCACGACTAGTACAAGTAACATATAAATATTAGTTTAGTTCTCTCTATTATAATCTTCCCACGGGATAAACAAATACGATACCCTTGGAAAACTCTCAGGTGAAATGCTACAATGGTATATCCGTGCGCTTGCGGATAATCTCTGTAACCATAATATACCTTGACTATTTCTGGCGCCACTGCTGGGAATTATATTTCTAGTAATGTCGTTAGGAAATACCAACAAGCATTTCTGGCGCCGTTGCTGGGGAAGATTTATAAGAAGAGATTCCTAAAACTAATATCTTATATTTACCTCTGTATAGTCAATATCCTTTGCAGGTTAACCTTGTTGTTTTCACCCTTTGTTGTGAAAATAGGGTAGTGTATAATTGTTTTTGACCTGCCGGAAAACTTCCAGGAAAATCCATAAGTCTTCTTCTGAAGCATAAAACTGCGGGTTGTTCCCCCGCAGAAGACTCTTCCGACAAAGAAGCCAAACGTACTAGCGCCACCAACTTTCAAGACCATGGCTGACAAGACTCTTCGCGAGTTCGCTGCTCCCTCCTCTAAGAATGTGGCCACTGGGCCGCAGCTCAATTTGGGAGACATGGACTTTGATCTGAAGTCCAGCCTCATTACGATGGCGCAGGCTAGCCCATTCTGTCGCAAGCCGAACGAGGATGCTAATGCACACCTGCAACAATTTCTGGAGATTTGCAGCACGTACACTGTGAAGGGCGTCAGTCCTGATATCGTCAGGCTGAGGCTGTTCCCATTTTCCCTCCTCGGGAAAGCGAAGAAGTGATTCTATGCCAATCGTGCTGTGATAAACTCTTGGGAAAAATGTTCGACAGCATTCTTGTCAAAGTTCTTCCCGATGGGCAAGATTAATGCCCTTCGTGGGTGAATTTCGGGCTTCTAGCAGATGCGGGATGAGTCCATTCCGGAAGCATGGGAACGTTTGCAGGAATACGTGGCCGTCTGTCCTCATCATGGAATGTACGACTGGCTGATCCTGCAAAAGTTTTACAATGGACTCACTCCCACGTCCCGCAACCACCTGGATGCGGCAGCTGGAGGAGCTTTCTTCTCTAAGATGGTCAGAGGAGCCATCGACCTCATAGAGAAGATAGTCTCTAACATGGGTTGGAGCGAGGAACGGCTCCAATCCCGTCAGCGAGGAATGCACACTGCCAAGGAGACGGAAATACTCGCTGCAAAACTCGACCTCCTAATGAAACGACTTGACGAACACGACAAGAAGCCCCAATGCACCGTCAAGGCCTTGGACTCGCACATCACGTGCTAAGTCTGTGGCAACACGGGACATTCTGGGAATGACTGCCCAGAGACCCATGAAGAGGCGATGTACATGGGTAACAACAACAACAACGGGTACCACCCGCAAGGAGGTCAGGGGTGGAACCAGCCCCGTCCGTATTTCCAAGAAGGCAATAACCAAGCTAACTACTGACGCACTTAATAAAAAGATGGTTGCTAATGACAAGATCTTAGAAAATATAAATGTGAAACTAGATGGCTTTGCTTCCGCATTCCAAAACCAGCTAAGTTTCAATGAAATGATTGAAACCCAGTTGGCACAATTAGCTGCTCTAGTTCCTACAAATGAATCTGGGAGGATTCCGGGGCAACCCGAACCCTCCATAGAAAATGTTAAGGCGATCACGACGAGGGGAGGTAAGTCCACTTGCGATCCGCCATACCCTAACAATGCAGGTACTAGCAGCAACAGCAGGGAAACACCGTCTGACGCAGCGGCTGAAGAAGAAATTCAGCCAGAAAAGACCGTGCCGCAGCATTACTGCGACACGAGGTTGCTGCCATTCCCCCAGAGGATGAGGAAGCCGTCAGTGGACGAGCAGTTCGCTCGTTTCATTGAGGTGATCTAGAAGATTCACATCAACGTCCGTTGTTGGACGCTATGCAAGTGCCAACATATGCACGTTATCTCAAAGACATCCTCAACAACAAGTGACCACTACCGACGACCGAGGTGGTCAAGCTGACAGAGGAATGCAGCAACGCGATCCTCCACAAACTCCCGGAGAAGAAGAAAGATTCGGGGTGTCCCACAATCACTTGCTCAATCTAGACACAAAAATTCGACCAGGCACTCTGCGACCTTGGGGCAAGTGTAAGCGTCATGCCCAAGGACGTCTTCGACAAACTCAACTTTACGGTGTTGGCACCAACACCGATGCGCCTTCAGCTGGCTGACTCGTCGGTCCGCTACCTAGCCGGGATAGCAGAAGACGTGCCGGTAAAGATACGGGATTGCTTTATCCCGGTCGATTTCGTGGTGCTGGACATGGACACCGGTAAGGAGACTCCGCTCATCCTGGGCGTCCATTCCTGAGTACCGCAGAGGCAAACATTGATGTCGGAACAAGAAGCATCCGTTTCCACATCAATGGAAAGGAGGAGAAGTTCGAGTTCCAGCCGAGGACGAAACAATGCTCCATGGTCCGGTTAAAGTACGGGCCAGCCCCGTAGAATATTCAGACGGTCGAAGTGGAGCCACCCAAAATGGACAGCCTCATCGCTTTCATGAAGAAATCTCTGGAGATACAACCTTCCAGGATGAGGTCCCGTTATTGGAAGACACCGGCCTAGAAGGAAGAGAAACCGGCTCAAAAGAAGCCGCCGCCCATACCAAGGACAAATAAGGTATGGTGGCTGAAACAGAAGACGCCCGCTCCATCACCTCCGGAGACGGGTGAAAAATCCATGAAATGAACGCCGGAGGTACGGTCTTGCACGTCGGACTTGAAATGACGCCGCCCTCGCCAATAGGTAAATTGGTATGTATCCTCATATTTATTTTCACCAATTTGATTTCTGCATCATCAAAGCATGTTTGAATTTCTCAAAATTTGCATTTAGGTTTGAATTTTGAGGCAAATATTCAAAATGAATTTTTCAGAGCAAAATTTTCAATCAAAATTTAGTTTGCCACGACCACACTGGCCGTTGGAACCCAACGGTTAAAAGTGGGGCCGGTTGGGCCCACTAGGGGTTCGGCCGAACCGGCCAGGCAACGGTCGGCCGCCACTTTTGGCAGACCAACGGCTAGTGGGACCCACATGACAGTTTCGACCGTTGTTGGTGCCCTATATAAGCCAACCGGTCGAGAGAGAGGAATCCACCCCATTTCAACTCATTTTCATTTCCTCTCCAACTTTGCTCTCAAAATCCATTTCAAGTTTTGCAAGCTTGTCTCAAAATCAAACACTTTAGTTGCATACACAAGTTGTTTCGTTGAAGCTAACCGGTGGGTAGAACTTCTTGCTATCCTAACCCCCGCCGAGTTAGTCCATTCTTATTTGTGCAGAACGAGGCGATGGTTGTCCCGTCTGTTCAAGAAGGGATCTGGCTCTTCATCGGGAACGACCACCGACATATCGATGGAAGACACCGACATACCGACAAGCCTCTTGACCGACACCAACCTCAACCTTATCGGTGATCAGGAATTACAAGCCTACCATATGCTGAAGGACCGGAAGTTCAGCCACACTCGGGCGTACGATCCGGAACTTCTGAGGAAAACAGGTATGGATAGTGATTTTCATGCCATTTGGAATGCTGTAATTTGGCAGAGATTTGCAGTAGTAGATGAACCAGGTTCTCATTTGCTTAATATACAATTTCTGTGCACTTTGAAAGAATCAGAAGATGGCATATCCTTTCTTTTTTCCGTAAAGAGTATACGCTTTCATGGAAAGGATTAAGTACACTTCTTGGTTTTCACGATAACTGTAAAACCGATCTTCAGAAAGGAATTCCCGGGTTCAAGAAAAACAGATTTTGGGAAGACATTTCTGGTGCTCCAACTTGCAGACGTCCTAGGACAAATGACATCCATAATCCTACACTTAGACTTATGCACAAATGGATTGCTATGACTTTGTGTAGACCCCCATTTTTATAACAGGAATCAATCGTGTAAATAGTACCATTTCCCTGGATCAAGTAGTCTGGTACACACGAATTCATAGCTAAAATACCAAGTGCACATACACGAGTGTCTAATACGAATTATTACATCATAAGCCCGCAGGCATAGTCTTAAATCATCGGACCGAGCGGTCCGGAATACATCCAAAAGCAGAAATAGATAAGGCAGCGGAATTCAGGCAGCGGCATGCCATTGCCACAGGCAACAACCGTACTAAGACCTACTGAGCGCCATCGTCTTCATCTCCCTCCTGGTAGTAGGCATAGGGATCCTCCGAGGCTTCATCTCCCGCTTCTGATTAATTTTATATTTGCAAGGGTGAGTACCAACCGTACTCAGCAAGCCATCATAGCAATGATGCACATGACAGAGGAATTCAAAGGATGGCTATGGTTCTTTTTGCACAAAGCAAGTTTTGTAATTCTTTTCACAAGCCTAAGACCTAGCATAGACTGTTCAAGTTTTAATACCAGTGTTCATATTAAATAATGACGGTTCTGTCCACCATCCATTGTGATCCCAAGGATAGCTTCCCGCCATTGAGTCGTTATGGTTTTCTGAGGACGTCCACATTCCCGCCTCTTAGGAAGTGGCTCCATCAGCATAAAAATTCATCATGCAATATCCCATCCCACACAAGTTAAGAATTTAGAGTCTAGCCAAGTGTAATACATGTCCCGGTGCTCAATAACCGCGAGCACGGCTATTCGAATAGATTTGGTTTACTCACACTGCAGTGGATGTACACTTTACCCGCACTCCGCGACTACCCAACACATGAGCCTCGTCCCAACACATGAGACACGTCACGGCAAAGCTTTTCGATAACCTCGCATTGGCAGTACCCGCTCCATGAACTTAAATCCTCATGCACTCTAGGCGTCCATGTTTCTAGCAGTGAGAGGAGTTCTGGCGCTCCCGGGGAAAGAGAAGTCTCACACGCATATTAAATTATGGTTCAAGTTAAGTTCTCTCTCTCACACACTCATGGCAGTCCTACCAATGGCAACACCGATATAGGGCACGCCTCTCGGCCCTACCTCAACGGCTGTCCCATCGTAGCGCACCTGCCTCAATCAGGGGTGAACCATCTATGCAGGGATACTGCCTCCACTTGGCTATCTAATCTGCTAGGTCTATACCCATTCGAGAAGTACGGTTGTACGGGGGGTCGTTTCATGCTTAACTTCATGGCTCGGTCCTTAATTGACTAGGGACGGTACTAGCCTTTTCCAGATACCACCCAAATCCTCCGTCCGCCCCAGTCGAAAACAGTTGTTTTAATTTTATTTCTCCTTTCACAAATCATGTCATCAACATCATGGCAATGTGGCGCTCATGTCTCCACATGCCGCATCTCAATTACCTTCCCGAAGGTAATTGCCCAAGCATATAGCATTTGATAAATATGAGTATGCATGATTCTACAATAGCATTTCTAAGCAATTGTCATAGTTGACTAGGGACTCATACGTAAGCATGGTTACAAAGATTTAAGGGTAAACAATAATCAAGGCATGGCATAATCACAAGTAGGATGTTCATTATTTCATGCAATTTTTATTTGTAAACAAAACAATTTCGTAATTAGGATCAACATGTTCGAGGAATAGTGATGACTTGCCTTGCTCAGAGTCTTGCAGGTCTCGGCCTTCGCTTGGATCCGCAACTCCCTCGGGCTCTATAGTTACGTGCAAAAATTGATTTGAATTCGGTTAGAATTCAAATAAAAATCCAAATAAATCCAAATGAAAGTCGAATGTGAAAGTCGATTCCTTTTTATTAACTTTACTATCTGCGAACTACGGCAAACCCAATTTCGACTTAAACTATTTTGCGGGCATAAATATTTTGTTGTCATAAGTTTTTAATTTACTCTTCCCGAGCATTATATCCATATAATAGGTTAGAAATTTCTATTAAGAGCTAAATATCGGAGGAAATCCTAGAAATATTATACAATTTAATTTATTCTATGACTAAACGATTAAATATAATATGCGGCTAAGATTCTTAGTAA